AGAGGCTGACAGTGTGCAGAAGGTGACTGCTTGTTATTTCTGGGAAACTGCTGCTCCAAAGTTGCCTTAAATTGGAGACTCACAACCACTCAGATTAATTTCACAGGATGGTAGTACACCAACTGATCCCCCCCTTTCCCATTGCACAGTTGTCCTTGTTGCATCTGGGTTTTGCCCATGTTCTCTCGCCATTGGGCTGAGAACCTCTCTCTGGACCAGTCCTGCCACAGGCCCACTAACGGCAATGCACCTCTGTCCCTATTAATCCCAAGAGATGAAGGGCCACCTGCACACAGCCCATATGTGTCCACTCCTAGCACCAAGAGCATGTCCTTGCACAGAGACTGCCCATGTGGATCATGATGTGGTGTGGGCAGGTATTGCAAGGCTCAGAGAAATCCTACAGTGACATGAACCTTAGCTCTGGGCCATGATCCTCACCCTTGGTCATGGTCCCCTTTCTAATGCTTGCATTTTAAGACTCCAGAAGCTCAGGGTCAGATGTGGCAATCAGTAGAACATGGAAATCAAACTGCTTTCATCAGTGCTAGCTCTGTTTCAGACTGCATCTCGATCATCTGGAAAAGAAATAGTCCAGTTATTCTTTCGCTGGGATGAAGATGAGAGTGAGGGTGGGTGGTATATGGAAGAGGTAAGTCTTTCTTCAGAGTTAGCAGTTGTCAGCTTGCTCTCCCAGATGCTGTGGGCATGCACTGATTGGGTATGCAACTGCACTGACACCACCCTTGCCTAGCCAACCTGATGTTGCTTACCTGTTGCTTTAAATGCAGCCTGGAGCCAGGCTCTGTGCTCTTTGGGGCTGAGTCACTTACTTTTACATAAGAGCAGTGGTTAGGTGCTGAGTACTCCCCCCTGCGTAATAAATGAAAGGAAGCATAAGATACCAGTATAAGCAATGTGTACAGTTTTGGCATAACCTATTGCCAAGGTTTGCCTGTGTTGTGAAGTACAAAGTAGCTTGTCAGCTCTGGGAAGTAATCCCTGCACCCTGGACAATCACTAGTCCCTCCTGCTTGGACTCTGCAGAGCTCCACGGGCCTGACCATGATCTGACCTTCTGCATGGACTCAATAATAATAAAGCCAAAAGAGAAAGAGCAAAAAAGGCTAATATATGGAGAGAGTGAACACAGTGAAAGGAGATCAATATGGTTTCCTGTACACATTGTTCCAGATTCGGCATGTAGTTATTTGGAGCACTGCACCAAGTTAGGCCTACCGTGCTAGCTCAGAGATACTATGTCTTGTCCTGGGAACAGCACAGCCACATCGAAGTGGCAATACAAGCAGAAGCATTAGAAATCTTTTTGGTAGACTTTGCTGCCGGGTTAACAAGCCCATCACATAATATGGGCTGTCTCCATCTCCAGAGCCATGTGGCAAATCTTTTCATGGCACAAGCCAGTGCAAGTAGAAATGTCATAGAATATAAGAATGGCGAAGGCTCCATCTATCCAGCTCCCCTGTTTCCATCAATGGCCACAAACAGATATGAGTGAAATAAGAACAAGACAAGCGTATGTTATAGCTGTGCTGAATACTACTTCCAGCATTCAACAATTTTCAGCTGAAGCAATTTCTTCTGCTGCTGGTCCATCTAGGTCTCTACATGAGAAGATGGGAGTGACAACAGCACATCTTCAGTGCCCACATTCCATAGGAGTTTCATTTACTGACACCACAAACAAGGGATTTCATGGGCCAGGCAACAATCTGTACCAACACGTTATGCGTGAAACTCACAGAGATTTTCCTTCTGAAGAGGTTGGTTTTCACATAGGGTCCACTGAGAACAGATTTTTTGAAGCAGAAGAGGGCAAGATAAACTTGGGAGGAGTGGAAAAGGATCAGGCCACTACCAGAATCCATCTCAAATTCTCATATAGACGTTTCTGCATTGAAAAGAGAGAAGTACACAAAGAGAGAAGTTCACACCAACCTGCTATCTTCCCCACATACACAGGATTTGGCTTATGGAATAATTGCTTCTAGATGGACACTTCTAGTTGAATACAATTCTTCCTGAAGGATTTCCCACTTAAGTCTGGCCTTTAATTGGAAAGTTTCACCTCTGTAAACAAGAATGATCCTTGAGGGAGGGGCGCTTCTGGAAAGGGATGCACACAGCTGAACATAGGAGTTTCAATCCTAGTTTATCTCAGACAGACAAAATCTGTTTTGATAGGAGCATTAAGCGTCCTGCAGCTTGATATAAACTCATGGACTCTTGCTTACTCTTGGCATTTACTCTTGAAAATGAATCATTGTTACTTCCGCCTCCCTGCCCACCCCTCCATTTGGTTCCTTTTTAATTTTACAGCTTCCTGAGCTTGACACTGGGAAATCGATAAGTAATTTAGAGCCCAGTAAATACAGATGGAAACAAGTTATTTTGTACTTTTATAAATATTTGGAAACCAAAATTATCTAAGAAAACAGGTGCTCAGTTGACTCAGCAACCCATCCATCAGCATCACACAGTTAATTGCATAAGATCATAAACATTTATAATTAGAAGGCAAACAAACAAGAATTTTATAAACAGCCCTCTTGAATCAGGCTGCACATTAAATATTTGTGATAAGGTAATTAAGAATAGATTTACAATCCTGGCTCAGTGTTTAATACTTTGGAGAATGGATTTGATTCTGTGGAGAATGTTCTACAGCCAAGGAGAAAACATTCGATTTTGGCTCTTTTATCCAAGGTTTAAAGTGATCTCAGAGAAACATTGGCTCTGTAATTGATCAGAGTGGAATTTCATTCATTAAAAATCAGGCAGCTCGTTTAAATATATGTCTAATGTCCCTTGTCATGGGCTGGTCCACTTCAGGCCTGCTTCTAAGCTCTTTCTCCTTGGCTGGATCTGCAGGTTTTCCGTAAGTCCTGCTTTTTACGGTTGATGCTTTGATCAGAAGATGTGAGAATTCTCAACCATGTTTCAAGTAGGGAGGAAACCCCACATTTTTTCTATTATGACATCATGGTGTTCAGTTATGAAAGACTGGAATCACTACAGGATTACAGCTGTGCGATCTCAGTGGTCTACAGGAACCAGAGGGAAGATCTCTCTCATACTGTAGTGCCCAACGCCATTCCCTGTCCCAAAATAGCCAGATCTGCATACTTAAACTACCCAGTGTAATTACTTCTAAGTAAGCAGACTCAGCACCCCATTACAATGAGTGTGAGAGTCCCCCTGAAGCTAATCTGTGATCAAGTCAGCAGGGCTTCTATTTATACTTCAAACCAGAGAGGCTATAAATTCAGTCTCTACTGAAGCTAGGGTTTAAACTCTGTAAAATCAGATGCGGACTCTAAGAAACTAGGTAGCTGTATCCCATCAGTGAATAATGGAGAGATCAGCCCTAAGGGTAGGATGACCTTCAGATATTTTGGGTTTTGGTATAGCACAGGTTTACTCCAGTAATCATCTGCCATCAGAAACAAGAACAGTCTGGAAAAGGTGGGTGGAGGGTAGAGCTGTAGCATTTGATTCATCAGGGATAGCCACAAACCACTTTATTGTGTGATGACAATCATCTCTCCACACACTGCTGATCGAGGCAACTTCCTTGTTTAGGCATGATTTTGCTTCTTATTTCTTGTGGGTCTTTTATTCTTTGTTCTTGTATTTATATGCTTGTAACAGGCAGGCAAGAGAGCTGCTCCTCCTGGAAGTGTTTTTGATAGTCTTGATCTTGACCAAGAACAGTGAAGCCATCATTATTAAGAATGATGAAGCTATCCACGTGGTAACTCACTCAGTCCTACCTGCTGAGCTGGCTTCAGTTACACGGGACATCCTAACAGCCAGATTGCTGCAAAACAAGGAGACTCAGATCCCCCTCATTCTGCATAAATCCCATTCTCTAGCAAAGCTTGTTAATGATATTACAGTGTGTCAGCTAAGTCAGTCTACATGAGATGCTGCAGCTTCCTCCAGCCTCAGTGGAGAACAGCACAGTGTTGCAGTCACTGCTGGACCTAGGGATTTCAAAAGGTCTAGCCAAAGCCTGGCAGCGTTAATAATAACAGAGCTTAATACTCAAGTACTGTAATTGTCTAAACAACTTCTAACATTATTTAATCTTTCAATCCTCTTGCAAGGGTGGGGAGGATGACAGAGACTGCTGGGAGGTGACCTAACCACTGGGTGGAAGGGCCTGAGCTGTTCACTCTCTTTCAAATGCGGAGACCATTAGAAGTCAGGTACCCTACAATCCAGTGCCATCCCCTGGACATGAGCTCTGGTACATAAAGATGAGTAGCAGGACATATGCATTACATGCGTACTCAGTGCACACACAGTGTGAGTTCATCTGCCCTTTCTTTCAAGCATGTTGTTTTCCCCCTCGGAAGGGAGCGATGATGTATGATGAAGTACCTGCTCTGCAGATGAGCAAAACTTTGCCTAGGATGACAAACCACTTACAGGTATAGACGGATCCTTTTTTTTGCTCAGTTGCTGCCTCTGGCCTCCATGTGCGTGTCTGCTCTGCTGCTGTGTGTGTGGGGGGAGACTCGGGCTGTGCACACACATGACGCTGGTGCAGCAGACGTCACCGGCACGTCAGACCCAGCTACACCCCCTCCAAACACAGCCGTTAGCTCGGTGAATCATGCCTATGCAGCATGCAAAACTAGTCCAGTGATAGATAAACCTCGGGCGTTTATTGGTAAACAGATACCGTTTTGTTGTAAGAGCATCACTCACTCTGCTGCATTTACAATCTGTTTATTGATTGCTGAGGTAAAGCTGTAATCCTTTTAATTCAGGGGGAAAGGGATCCAGCAGAGCAGGAGCACCAGTGCTCTGCCAGTCGGTAATTAAAATACATGATTTATCGTTGAATAAACACTGGCTGAGGGAAAGCTGAGTTAACCAGCTAGCTGGGGGCAGGATGCTGGGGTAGGTTTATGGTTCTTTCTAAAGTTTTGTTTCTCTTTTATGTTTATTTCTTTCCCCCTTCCCTCCAGGTCTAATAATACACGAAGGGCCCTCGGTTTACCGGATTTTTAAACGGTGGCAGGCGGTCAATCAGCAGTGGAAAGTGCTGAACTATGACAAAACAAAGGACATGGAGGAACAAAAAACAGGGACCAGGACAAATCAGCGCCCCTCCTCCCAAACCACCCACTCGTCCTCCACTGGTGGTACAGCCACTAACTCCGCTCCAGCCGACAGCGGGGCACGGGCTGCCGGCCATGCCACAGGCACCCTCTCTGACCACCACTGTGCTTATACCATCCTGCATATACTCAGCCACCTGAGGCCTCACGAACAGAGGAGTCAGTCTAGTAGTAACAGAGAGCTCGTCATGAGGGTCACGACGGTCTGAGCCGAGGAATTCAGGAGGCCTTAACATGAAGCGGAGGAGACAAAGAACTCATAAAGCAGAGGAGCATGGTGTGCCTTTTTCTTTCTCCTTCCTTTTATTTTTTCTGTTTCTCTTTTTTTTTTTTTTTTTTTTTTTTTTTTTTTATCTCCTCTCCTTTTCTTTTTCGGTAACTGCACAAGATATAAGAGGCGGCACCTGGCCAGCTGAGGAAAAAAGCAGGTGGAGGGAGAGCTGCACACTCATGCTAAAGAGGTTAATGTTTTCCAGCCAGTTTAAAAAAAAAAAAAAAAAAAGAAAAAAAAAGAAAAAAAAAACAACAACAACACAAATCACAAAGAAAAAAAAAACAACAAAACAAGTGCAATACAGACTACAAACTGAGTAGGCAGAGTTCTGGGGAAGCAGAGGAACAGACGGTTTAGCATGTCTTACAAATCTTATTACCTGGAATAGGTAACGCTCTGTACACACCCCCTGTACACACGCATACACATGCACGCATGCGCGCACACACACACACACACACACACACACACACACAGTGTGAGATTTATAAAAACAAGGAAGGGAACGAAATATTTGGAGTAGTTTTATTTTCCAGACTGTGATTAACCAGGGCTATGAGTTGTTTTGTTTCATGAGTCACTCTGGAGCCTTGTTCAATTTACCATAGGATACCTGAAGTGATTTACAGAGAGATTGAATCATCCCACCAAGAAAATCTAACAAAACCCAGGCCTATCCAAATTTCACCAAAAATCCTGTTTTTTCCATAAAGTTCCTGACAAGGGGTTTGTGAGGGTGGAATTGGGAGGGGGGAGGGCAGTTCATGACCTTTATTCATGAAAGGCAAATTTTGTACAAACGCTCTGCAGGTGTTTCAAGCACAAGTACTGGTGTGATTTATGACTTCATAACCCCAAATCCAGCATCCAAATCTTGCCACTCACACACATCATTTTCCATGCAGACATTCCAGGTTAATTTCCTTCCATTTTACTCCAATCACAAGAAGCTGACCCATCTCAGTGGGTTTCTGCTTCCTTGTTGATTCAGACACTCATGCGTTAGAGATGTACATCTTTTTTTTCAGTGTCTGTATCCCTGCTGCTCGATTTGCAACAGTCTGTCTCAGTCTTGTAGGCTGAGCCTTTCACATCCAGTCTGTTAGTTTATTACAGAGTCTATTCCATTCAATCACTCAAGAGAGAGTTAGTCTGAAGAGGGAGCACAGTTGCTGATCGAATATATAACACTTTTAATAAGTCTCCTTCTCTGGGATATATCCTCGAAGGTACTGGTTGCTCTTCAGGAACATTCTCTTTCAATGCACAATGGCTGAATCATTTGTGGATATTAAAGGGACACTGTCAAGTACTTTTTAAATAGTTTTTAGGGTTTGGGGTTTTTTTACTCTCCATTGTTTGTAATATTATCTTACAAGCTTGAAAATAAAATTTCTTTCCCTACTGATTTTGTCCTTTTCCATTTGGGCACGTATCGTTCTCTCCATTCACCTCATTCCTTTCACCATCCTGGTCCTTCTTCTCCCCACCTTTCTTCTGCAATAGGAGGAAATCCATGTTACTGATTTCCTGCTGACTGTCCTCACTCTATGGCAGGTATGTCCCAGCTCTGCAGGACTGAGCTGTTTTCCCTAGTGCAACAGCTACAACAGAAGCGTAAGAGCAGGAACCCTAAGAATATGGAGATTAACTAATTGAGGAGCAACAGCTCAGCATTCCCAAACCAGTGAACCCATAGCAATCAAGTCTGAACCCAGCTCCCCCCAAAATTAAGCTAAAGACTTCAGCCAAACTGCATCTGTTTAGCAGCAGTGCTGAGCAATGTTGCACAATGGTGGTGTCCAGCTGCCCTCCATCGTTGCACCAGCACCTCCTGCAGCTTCTGTTGGAGCCAGGGCAAATGTGGGCCACGAGCTCCTTTGGCAGGTAGGCCATCATGGGTCAGGTGTTTCTGGACTGGAGAAGGTGTCAAACTGCAGCCTCCGGCTTCAAACACACCAGCCATTCTGCAACGTTGAAGATGGAGGTTAACAGCTTAAGGAAGGTCATACTTTTCACCCCGATTACTTGACAGTGTCCCTTTGAATATCAGAATGCAACAGAACAAGTACTTCTCTGGCAGAGAATGTGGGAGGTGAAACACCAGCCCAGCTGACTTACTGAGGACTCATGTGAAACAGCATGGTTTCTGAGGCCACTGTACCTTTATCTGACCAATCTTACTATCTACCAAAGAGTGCTTTTGGCAAAGGGGAGGGAAGGGATGTTGGTAGGTGGAGGGAGAGGAAAGGGTCAATTCTGATCATCTCTAAAAGCAGCTACCCCCAGAATGAAGGTGTTGCAATGAACGGTCTCTGATAGAACCACTTCTGATCCAAAGTAGAAAGAAATCTGGCCAAAACATGCAAACACAGCAGCCTCTTTCCCCCATGCCTGTCCTGGAAGCTGTCCTCATGCCAAGAGATGAGTAATTATGGTGGTTTTGGGAAGGGGGAAGCATAAACAAAGGGACAGCTGTCAGACATGATGTTGTTTCCCTCCCTGCCCTCCGCTCATTTAATATGGAGAAGTCAAATTCATTTAATTTGGCTAGTTGCTAAAAGTTTATGAGGTCAGAAGCACAACTTGCCGTGAAAGAGTGGTGTGATCTAGTACTCTGAGCACACAGGACTCTGCATACTCTCACTCCAGCTCTGCCACCGACTCTGTAGCCTTGGGCTGTTTGGCTCAGTCCCCCCCTCCACGCAAAGGGGGAATAACAATACGTACCTACCTCACAGGGGTGTTGTGAGAATCCACGTTGGTAAAGCCTGTTGAAGTGCTAAGTCTACCATCGGTAGTCACGAGGCGTGTGGTGGGGGTGAGCAGCGCTGCCCTTTTGCTGGTTACAGTCCGAATCACTCAGCGGGAGTCCCATCGGCCCTCCCCTGCTTGGAGATCCTCCTTGATCCGAAGCGGAGGGTGTCGTCCGAGTGCCCTCTCCTCCATTGCATGACATTTTAAGCGGCTGTGAGGTGCAGGGTAGTGACAGACATGAAGTCCTACTTGACCAGGGATTTGCTACAACGTTTTCTATATCTGTGGGGTTTGTTGGTTTGGTTTTTCCATATATTGTGCTTAGAAATAAACTTTCCACTTAGGGCTGGCGGTTCGGGGTCTCTTCTGTTGCATGGCAATGTATACAAGTCTTATTGTCTGTCTTACTGTGCAAACGATCCTGCAGCCCAATTTCAGAGATGGGTATGGTCTGAGCCTTTTCATAGCGGCATAAGACTCAAAAGCCTGTCTAGACTGTTTAATATTTAAACAACACTATGAACTTGTCAATTGTATGTGTTCTGTGCAATACGAAGCATGTCATTAGCTGGCTTGATGGGCAGAGGGGCTAAAGGAAGGTCAAAACTTGTTCAAAAAGCTTCATACATGTGCCAGCATGGAGCCAAAGGGCTGCCACCAGCAAAGCAAACTCGGGTAAGCCACTGGAAACTGTTTTCAGAACAGTTTACTCCAGGACAAGGTACTTCTGAGTTTATGAACTTCTAGGCTGCCAGCCTGAGAGAACAAGTGCAAATTTAGTGTGGGGTTTGGGGTTTTGGATTTCCTTTTTTCTTTCCTCCCCAAAGTATTGATGGTAGAAATACTGATGAGGGTCTCTTGCTTCCATAGCGCAGTTCTCTCGTCTCCCACAATCTCCTTGTGCCATCCCTTTTGTGCTACTATGCAGGACTTTAAAAGGTGCAAATGGAGACAGTACACTCCTGAGACATGCAAAATACATTGTGTATTGGGGGACTCTAGCAGACAGAAGAGATGGGGCTACAGAAGGTATCTCTTCTTCCCCACATCTTTTCCCTAGTCTTGTCTGCTGGGTTCCTGAAGAGAAGTTCTCTGTATTTTGTTACAAAGCAGTCAGATCAGCTTCCACTGACGAACAAAGCTTGCAAAGTTTGGCAGCTGTTTCTCCCAGTGGAGAAAATTCCAGGTCCCATCACTGTGGAGACCCCTCAGTTCCTGGGCTTTGTGGTCCTCCAACACCATTTAGGGGTGGTCAGTGTCGAGGACTGTGTTCAGTCATCATCAGAAGTCCTGTGTGTGTGTGGTCCTGCTCATTCTTGTGATTTCTGCTAGTGCCCTGATTTTCCATCAGTTTTGACAGGTCTTTCTGGTAATGCTCTTCAGAGATGTTTTGCTCTGTGTCAGTTGCCACAGCTCTTCTATTCTTGCCATCCAGTCTCTTGGTAAATACCCACTGCCAAGTTCAGACCCTCTTACTCTGTGCCTGCAATGGCTCAAGCACATGCACTAACTCAAGGGTCATCAGAGAACACAGGGACCATTAAGAGTTTGTATCAAGAATCACACTCCTTAACCATCAGACAGTCCTCTTTGATATATATTCACTTTGCCAATCTCAGTGCCTGCTGTTAATTGGTTGTCACAAAAGAAATCATAATGTTAGCAGAACCTATGTACACTTGGTTTCCGATTTCAAATGTCAGAAGTGATGGACAGATTTTCAAGTAAATCAGGTGTGTTCCTTGTTGTGGTTTCCCAAGCAAAGTGCAGAAGAGGTCCATGTCTACCCTACCATGTTGGGCATCCCCAGGAAAGACCAAGTCAGCAACACGGATTTGAGTCAAGAGAGGCGTTGGCTGTCCACTATATTTTTACTTGGGGAGACAGGAAAATACTACTCATGCATGTGAGGTCCTTTCTCAAAGCTCTTGTGTTTGACAGTGGTAAAATGTCAAAGCCAAAGCCTGTAGATGGAGGACAGTTCTGAAGACTTTCCAGTTCTGAAGACCATCCCCTGCCCATGTGTGGTGGTCAGTCATTCAAGCATCTTCTCTATGTTTTCCTTAAGAGAAAAAATATTATTTTGACTAAGCAAAATACAGCTACTCTTCAGTGTAGGAGGAGGATACACCATTAGCACTTCCAACCTGTAGTTCATTAACCAGGACTCCTGCACAAGGAGATCCTTGTGAGAACACATGGCCAGAAGACCTATTCCTTCCTCTTGATACTATATGTCAGTCAAGCACTTGGAGGGAAATAATCAGTGGTGCAATTGCCTTAGTGACTACTGGCTGAGTATCCTAACCTTCCCTCCACTATCACCTCACCTGTGATGGCTACTTCTCATTCCTGAGCCAACAGATGCCTCATCCCCCTCTGCCCTCCCTAGACTCCAGCCCTGAAGATCTCCTGAGCAGACAGACACAGGATTCCTCACAGACTAGTTTTACAGTCTTCTACATCCTTCATGTATCCAGACAGGAAAATTAATGTCATTGATAGGCAATGACATATTTGAATCCTAAGAGGAGAAACAGGTGTAGGAGCTTTTTTAGATTGACCTTTATCTCTTCTTCCATGTTGAAGGAGATATAACAAAAGCATCAGTTGGTTTCCATATGACAGCAATGAGCTGATGGCTCTAGGAATATTTCCCTCAATAATGCAAGTCTGACACACTGCAGTTACTGAAGGCAGTCTTTGATCTCACATCTATCATGTTGGATACAAGGAGAACAGAATCTGACACTTTTGTGCTGTTTACACAAACATCAAAAACTATCTTAGTTCATTATTCAAATTACCTCCAGGTCAGTGGGTGAACTTCTCCTTTGATGAAAGAATAATGTTTTCTCTTCCAGAACTGGAATTGGAAGATAAAATATATGTACATGTATACATGTATATTTTTAACTGTGAAAAGAAAAGGAAAAGAAAAGGAAAAGAAAAGGAAAAGAAAAGGAAAAGAAAAGGAGAAAAGAAAAGGAATAGAAAAGAAGAAAAGGAAAAGAAAAGAAAAGAAAAGAAAAGAAAAGAAAAGAAAAGAAAAGAAAAGAAAAGAAAAGAAAAGAAAAGAAAAGAAAAGAAAAGAAAAGAAAAGAAAAGAAAAGAGAAAAGAAAAGAAAAGAAAAGAAAAGAAAAGAAAAGAAAAGAAAAGAAAAGAAAAGAAAAGAAAAGAAAAGAAAAGAAAAGAAAAGAAAAGAAAAGAAAAGAAAAGAAAAGAAAAGAAAAGAAAAGAAAAGAAAAGAAAAGAAAAAAGAAAAGAAAAGAAAAGAAAAGAAAAGAAAAGAAAAGAAAAGAAAAGAAAAGAAAAGAAAAGAAAAGAAAAGAAAAGAAAAGAAAAGAAAAGAAAAGAAAAGAAAAGAAAAGAAAAGAAAAGAAAAGAAAAGAAAAGAAAAGAAAAGAAAAGAAAAGAGAAAAAAAAGATAAAAGAAAAGAAAAGAAAAGAAAAAGAAAAGACCTAAAAGAATACTTAACTGTATTGAATAGGTCTTGACAGGATCTAGAGAGTTGCTGTGTGGAAAGTACGACATATGATTTGACTTCAAGCAAAGAGAAGACAAAGAGAAGAGGAAAAAGTTTTTATGTGACCTCTGGCCTGTCTCTGGTTCATGCTTATTATTGTATAGCATTTAATTAATGAAGAAGTATGTGGAAAACAGAAGCTCAGTTCCAGCAGTGGGAAATGGACTGAAGACCCCTCAAACTTATCTGAGCCATATTCAGACAAGCACAATGATGCAAAAGCACAAACACCTACCATCACAACTGTTTGAGATGAGATGGATTTCTGAACAGGGACAAGGACTCAGAAAGCAATTCTTTTCCAAGCCACATTAACAGTATTTTTCCCAGTTTGTTTACTTCCTATTATTAACACACCCCCCCTTTTTTTTTTTCAAGCATCATAGGGGGGGAAAAAAAAAAAAAAAAAAAAAGAAACAAAGGATTCTGATACCCAGGACTTGGGGAATTAAATAACATTAGAGAAGAGGTACTGAGGGAAGATGCTTCTTTATATGTTGTATTATGCATCAAGATGTGCTTTACCAGAGTTAGGACATCACATTCAGTTCCCTGCTTGCTCAAAGAAAGTCTGAGTGACTGAGTCTGCTCATAATCAAGGAGCCTTCCTTAAATGTAGCCTTCTACAGGGGGCCACAGCTTCCCTCTGGATGGGATAATCAGCCTCAGGCAGAGACATTTTGCCTCCAGTTGCACTCCTCTATGGCAGGATGACAACCTGTTGTCACCAGGTTGTTAGCAAGTAACAGCTGGGCAATGGGAGCCTCTATCAGCATATATAAGTGTCGATATCAAAAATCACAAGAATTGCATATGCCCAGTGTGTCCCATGCAAGTGACCTATTTCATCCTTTCACAGTTCAAGTTGGTGACAGAGCTACTCTGTTCTTTGCTCTTCATTACAAGACAGCTTTCTTTTAAAATCCAGACTGCCACACTTCTCCAAGGGTCTTTCTACTGCACATCAGAGGTTCAGCTTAGTCCTTTTTCCAAGAAGGATGAACAGACCTCTGCCTAACCCACCTGATCTTCTTTCCCAGTTAGAGAGACAAAAATTGATGTTCTCTGAACAGCTGATCTGAGTACCTATGTTCTTATGAGATTATATTCCTCTTCCCCTTCACTCACTACTCCATAATCTTCACTTTCATTTGGAAAGAGGTGATTCATTGCTACTAAATGGTAGACCATCTCTCTGAGATGGGATTGTGGACAGCCCTTCTACTCCTTGCTAACAGGCACACAAACCTTCCTCCCATCCCTCTAGACTGGTGTGGCCAGCAGAACTCTTTTACATGGAGTTTAGCTTCTTGATCCAGAAGAGCAAATGCTTTTAAGCAACTTCTTCACTGCTATCAAGCTGTGGGATAATGGCATGGGGAATCTTTTGTTTCTTAGCCTCAGGGTAACTAGAGTGGATAATGTACCTAAGCCAAAAACATGGTGAGGACAAAGCATTTGTATTTTCAATGGTGGTAAAACTGGGCGGGGTCTGCCCTGATGGCAGCGGAGCAAGAATCTTCGTCAGGTTTATACAATAGCAAAGCCAAATGGCCTTGTCCCTGATGTTTTTAGCTCATACACATCAGCTCTCCATTATAAACAAACCCTCTGTAGGCAATGAAGGCCAGGCTTGGGAAGAAAATCTTCCTCATTCTATCAGCACAACCAGCCCATAGCTATGCATCAACCCCTTCAGGACTTTTGCCCCAGAGAGGCTGAGAGTAAGAAGAGAGGTGACTAGAGGGGATGTCAAGAACATTTCCCTGGATCTTTATCTCCAGCAGGCAGAGTCCCCAGTAAGCTAATTCTGCATCTCCTCACATGAGAACCCTTTGAAATCACTCCCAAGGACTACGGTCTGATCCTTCACTACTACAGGGTCTGCCCAGGAGAGGAAGCGGTGTCTCTGCATGGATCTCCAAGGTCTGTTGGTACAGTCCTTAGTCAGGCCTGGAAGAAATCACTATGTTCACTGAAGAATGAGATGAGTCAATTGTGTGTCCATGCAGAAATACTGTCTTTGAGACTTCTACAGAGATGTCTGTGGGGTTGGGAGGGGGGGTGTTGGTTTTGTTCAGGGCAGGAAGCATGAGGAAGGGAAGGCTGCAATGTCAGAAACAATCAGCTACAAGGGAGGGGTTGACTAAGAGGAATGACCATGTCAACTGTGTTACTGTCCCGTCATTCTCCTGAACCCAGAATGGAAACTTCCAAGTGCTCTTCATGAGCTTACATTTATTAGAAAACTATTCCTGGGTGTTCAAGGTTGTTTTCTAATGAAAAAATACATAATAAAAAAAGCAAATGAATGACTCCTGCTAATCTTTTCATCTCCTCTGTTAACCTGTAACACACACTGTGAAACTTACCTCCTTCCTTATTTGTTTACTGCCATTCCTGGTCAATAAAATCTCTTTCTTTCTAGTCATGATCTACACAGGGCCTTATACAGTAAGCTTTCATCTTCTGCCTTCACATCAGAGGTCAAGACTTCACGTAAAAGATTTGAACAAAATGCCATGGCTTAGCATACATAGCACAATGTGTTAGCACTTTGACTTATCTTTTATATATGGCATTAAACAGTAAAAATCTTTTACTAGACATCAGTAAGGTTCATGTATAGCGCCTTGCCTACCTGCAAGAGAGAAGCTTGCGGCAACCATGGTAAGTACAGGCAAGCACTGAAAAATGCTGCTATTTTCAGAGTACCCACTCTGGCCTGCTAGGTCCTTACCAAGGACAATACAGTGAACATCTCCCATCTAAGCAATACTGAAGTCAGCCCTTAATTCAGGGATTTATCTTCTACAAATTTCTGTGTGAACTTCAAGACACAGGGAACACTCAGAGCAAGCATGCACAGAGAAAGTGAGGACAATGGAAACAGTCACCAGTGCCATGGTAGGAAGGGGCTACTAAAGAGCTAGGCTAGATTCGCAGCTCCTCTCCCGAGCGCTGGACACACAACAGCAAGCCGTACCCCAGGACATCATTTGAGGCTGCCCCTTGTTTCTGTAGTGCCCACTGAATGCCTAGAGCACCGCTTTCCAAGGTGATATGCCTGGAAGCCCAGTGCAGCACAGCCTTCCTGTCTCAGAAGGAAAGCAAGGGCAGTGTTTCACCAGTCAAACAGAGTTCACGAAAGAAGGTCACAAGAAGCTCTGAAAACTTCTTCTGCTGAAGGGTCACAGAACTTTCTCATGCTTGCACATGTGAGGATCCTGCCCTGGAGAGACAATCAGAGTCTGTTCCTCATCCTTCCCCTGGAAACCAGGTAAGTCCTTTTCTTCTCCCTCTCTCTTTTTAATTTTTTTTATTAAATATAGGTCTATTCCAATAAGTCTATTGAAATACACAGAGAGACAGAGAAGGGGAAGGGAACAAATAGAAAAAAGGAAACAGGCAGGACAAGGAGCTGCTTGGAAAGAAACAGCTGTGCTAATCAGAAATGGAGGACAAAAAACAAGGTGAGGGGATATGACAGTGGGAGCAGGGGCTGGGGGGCAGAAGATAGGGATCAGGTATAGGACTGGAAGAGAGAAGGAAGATGTGGTGTGACGAGGCTGGTGGCAACTACTGATTACTGCAGCAAAAACACTGATGGCTTGGAGAAAAGAGGACAAGACAGGCCCTAGAGGATCCTCAGGGAAATGAGGAAGGAGCCATGAAACACTGGGCAGACTGGAGAGAGTCCTCTCCAACCAGTCTCTCTATGAGTCCAGGACCAAAACTGGGTCTTTCACAGACTGCAGCCTGACAAACAACCCTCTTGTTAGATTATACATCCCCAATAATCAAAAATCTTCATCACTCAGGCTAGGCAAACACAAATCACTGCACACATCATCTTACCTGTAACTCAGTTATTCTTACCAAAACACATTATTCCTAATTCAAGGAGGCCTCCCAGGGCTTGTTTTATTCTGTGCACACAGCTACATTTCTTAAAACCATAATGTGCACTGCACCTGCTCAGACCAACAGTAATTTCCTATACCAGCCAGCCAGGGCTCTGCTGAATTGTAGCAGCTATAACACACTGTGGTCTTTGCCAGCTCAGTGGATTTCAGGAGAATGGGGATGCTGAAACACTGGGTTGCTCTAGAGAGATAGAAGGTTGTCTGTAAAACAAGGAGGTTTGAGTGATATTGCAGCCTGGATTCTCTCACACACGGCAGGAGTGTTGCCAAAACATTGGGATCTGAGCTCAAGCTGCAAAATTCACAGCAGAAGTGCAAAAATCACAGGCTTAAGAGTAAAAAGCATGTCAGGCAAGGTGGTGGCAGGAAGAGGTTTTAACCACTGGGAACATGAAACTGTTTTGGTATAGAAACAGGTGAAAATTTCAAAACCTAACCTACAATGTATGCAGGTGTATCTTCATGGGGAATATAATTACCTGAATCTT